GCTGCTAATCACAACGGAGCTTTTTAGTAATCCTAAGCTCAACCAGATCAGCTTTCCAAGAGCAGGCCATGCCCAGACTGTCAGCCCGAAAGCATTCAATTACTAAGCATTGACATGTTCTTCTAGTTGAGGATTATATAACAGCGACGCATCTGTACTTATATACTTTCTATATTGGTCACAATTAACGAAGCCGGGAAATTGCAATTTGGTTCATTTGTTATTAGGTTTCACATAAACTGGAGTTGAAAAATTTCTTGAACAACATTCTGTTAAAACATCGACACGTTCACTTTGTGTGTTTGTCAACTTTTGACCTAAAAAAAAAAAGAAAAAGCTTACAAAATCACGTGCCTTGTGCAGTTTTGTTTCATTACACCGCGACTCTTTACACTGAAAGGAACCATGAAAAAGGCTTTTGCTGCACTCATAGCTCTCTCCATCGTTTATGGACTTTGCAGTGCAAAAGGGTGAGACGTATTTATTTTCACTGTATGTAAGATTACTGATAGGAAAACCATGGTTAAAATGCGCACAGGCAATCATAAATTAATGATTGAATCAAGTAGATACCACCAGAACAGGGAGAGATTAGACCTGGTCTGCAAGCTTTACTTTCGGCAGATCGGACTGAAGACGAATTTCACTCTCTCTTCACTTGTCTTAAGTATTCTACTCTAACGGACAAATTTTAATGTACAATAAAATGTACCTTCATTTTCAAAATATCGAGCAAATTTTTTTTCAGTAGAAATAACGATGAAATTTGACATACCCTTCCCTGCCAGGTTTACGCGGTAAATTGTTACAACTTTAGCATAATGATAAGCTTAATCTTTCCTGCTACCTGAACTTATTTGTCATGTAAAATGTTCTTCCATTTTGTTTTCTTTGGTAAGTTTTATGGGATTTGTCCATACTGTATATTCTGTATTTTCATAACGATACGTGTTGTGGTTTTGAGCGGCCTAGAAAGTACCCGGCCAGCTAAATTGTGCGCTTCTTCTTCGGTGCGTTTATCATTTTAAACTTTCGCACGTCAACCTGATATTTTCTTTTAAACGTTAACCTCGCTAATCCTCAGATGTCTGATTGTTGCCTGCTTCCTGTGTATTTCTCTCTGTCGTAGTCGCAACTGCTGTATGAGCGTATAATCACAGGCTGATTTAGCGGAGAGTACATACCGCAGCCCCTTCTTAATGCTGTTTAATTTCTAAAGAACTCTTTCGAAGCTGCGTCCTCCAGAGCCTTAATTTTTGGACAAAACGCCGTGCGAGAGTTCTTTAAACAAGTATCTGTTTCTAAAAAGCTGGTACACCACAAGCCTAGACCACTTTTTCTGAATTTTCTGGATCTACTCCTGAATGTGACAGCTGTTCAGAAATCTTCGGCTATTTACGAGAAGAAGACCTTAACATGCGCGTACATTCTTGGGCTGCTGGGGGCTGTAGATTCCCGAAAGGCAATATCCCGAAGGACCGTGCCGCCATATATAGGATATGTATATAGATATGTGCCGCTGTGAAGGCTAGTCTGGGATAGGTATAGAAATCAGAGAGTTTAAAACTAGAATAGGGTATCATCTTCCAAAAAACTGATAAATTGATTGAAGATTTTAGTCTAGACTATGGACGGCGAGCGATGAAAGGCAGCTGTATTGCAAGCTTAATACTAGTTCCTTTAATATTTTCAACTTAAATTTGTCAAATGACACGTTAATTAAAGAAAAGAGTGTTCAAAATCATCTGCTATAGGAACTCACTGGAATTCAGCTACAACTAATCCTGGCCTCAGAAATATACTACGTACTGAAAATGAAATTAACGTACTGCTTCTGAATGAGATTATGGAAAGGATGAGCTCCAATCTTGGACATGCAAATACTACTCGTAAATATAACTGCTTCTGTCTGAACAGGGTCAAAGGCCTAAGACAGCTTTCCATTTAAGCTCATTTAATTTCAAGGCTAGGCATTAAATTCACTAAAAGACAGACAGATTGTAAATAGCTACGAAAACCAGAGAAAACAATCTTTCTTTCCCCCCATTGCTTGAACGAATCTTGATAATTTATCGATCTGATGAAAACAAAAATGAAAAAAGGTTGTTTAGTGTAATTAATGGTTTCATCTGCAAGAGTTTATATCATTTGTTTTTGCATTTGCTCTGATCTCGGATTCCACGAATCACTTTAGGTTTACTGCGTTGATTACGTCATAATACTAGATCTCCCCCATAGGCTAGCGTTTCCGCTCGAGGTAATGCGCGAATCAAAAGCTGAAACGAAAACAAAACAAGAAATGAAGAGGACACAGTTTTTTGCTCTCGCTCCAAGTTTTTGCGCACGGAAACGCTTGCTACACAGGCTACCCATAGGCCACCTTGTCGAGCCTTGGTTTGCATATCGATAGGAAACCTTCCGGCAGTGAACATAAATTTGGGCTCCTGAATTTGTAGGAAAGTCAGCCGGTGTACGATCAAGTTCGGCCGTGCCTTCTAGATTCAGGAAGATTGTATCGTCAAGAGCAAGGTGCAATTATCAGAGGATCCGTTCAAAAGACATTTAATCTCGAGAAAATCAAACTTTAAGGGAATCTAGATCGAATGGTTTCCAAAGAATATAGCTCATTTGTAAATGTAAAACAAAATATATTTACATAGAGCACCTCAATTAATCCTTATCAAATCCCTCTTTCTAGCAATGTTTTCACACTCGTTTTTAAAGAGATTTAAACTATTTTTGCCAATTGAAATTNTGCGCGAATCAAAAGCTGAAACGAAAACAAAACAAGAAATGAAGAGGACACAGTTTTTTGCTCTCGCTCCAAGTTTTTGCGCACGGAAACGCTTGCTACACAGGCTACCCATAGGCCACCTTGTCGAGCCTTGGTTTGCATATCGATAGGAAACCTTCCGGCAGTGAACATAAATTTGGGCTCCTGAATTTGTAGGAAAGTCAGCCGGTGTACGATCAAGTTCGGCCGTGCCTTCTAGATTCAGGAAGATTGTATCGTCAAGAGCAAGGTGCAATTATCAGAGGATCCGTTCAAAAGACATTTAATCTCGAGAAAATCAAACTTTAAGGGAATCTAGATCGAATGGTTTCCAAAGAATATAGCTCATTTGTAAATGTAAAACAAAATATATTTACATAGAGCACCTCAATTAATCCTTATCAAATCCCTCTTTCTAGCAATGTTTTCACACTCGTTTTTAAAGAGATTTAAACTATTTTTGCCAATTGAAATTGCATTTCAAAAGCGCTTCGTTTCAAGCACAATAATGGTAGTAGTGACAGCAACAGACCTATTTTTTCTTCTATAGATTGCAATCCTCTAATGACACCGTTTGCCAGCGTTTTCCAAAGGATGTTGTGATTGGTTTTGGTAAGTTTTCTGTCTGATTAAAAAACCCTTCCCGCATTTCATCCCAGTGAGCACACACAATTACAAGTGAATGAAGACGAGAAAAAAAGTTCATCAGATATCGAGTTTATGTCCTGAGTTTGTGCCTTCGACTGTGTTTACAGCAATGCGGAAAAGGTCTATGCTTGATTTCCTGTCGAAGACTTGGTACTTTCCATGTCTGTATGCACTGTGTCCCTGTGTGTATACTGCACGTGATTTTGCCCCTGCTTTACGTTCCTTTAGCTTTTTACTTGTCCCTGTGTGTGTACTGCAAGTGATTTTGTCCCTGCTATAAGTCCCTGTCAATTGTCCCTGAGGGTGTACTGCACGTGATTTTGCCTCTGCTTTACGTTCCTGTCACTTGCCCCTGAGTGTGTACTACACGTGATTTTGCCCCTGTTTTACGTTTCTTTTTACTTGTCCCAGGGTGTGTAATGCACGTGATTTCGCCCCTGCTATACGTTCCTGTTACTTTTCCCTGTATGTGTACTGCACGTGATTTTGCCCCTGCTATACGTTACTGTTGCCTGTCAATGTGTGTGTACTGCACGTGATTTTGTTGCTAACACGCATGTCCTTACAACACGAGCCCTCGTTTTTCCTTTTCTCCCATGAAACCCTTATGACATCACTTATCGTTCTTTTGGTCCATTTTAGTTAGAGCGGAGGCGCGGTTCATTACACATGATGTGGGTGAATGTAAGGAAGTAACTCAACAGGTAGTGAAAGATACCAAATGTCGTTAAGTGCTCTCTTTCATCAGTGATTCCACATAGTACATACAGTTTCGTGGTAAATAAGTCTATTTCCTGTTGTGAGCCAAATTTGTGACTTGCTTGATTAGTAAACGCAGCAGTAGCTCGGTGTTAGAGCGCTGAACTGCGGAGAGGGAGGTCGCGAGATAATTGACACGACCGGACAACTTGAGGTCTATCTATATTTATAACTATTTCAAAAACTGGTTGCCACCATTTGGTTAAGTTCCTTTTTAAGTATGAGGTTTAGTTTTTGGTCCTGGGATTTTTTTAACCCCGATTTTTGCCCCATTGGGTCATCCCCGTCACAGTAAAATGCGGAGGACTCCCCTGGGAGAGGTATAGTAGGTATCGGAGGGCTTTGGCTGTCAGCAGTCTTAACAAAGTGGAACGTTTGTAAGCACCATAATTTTTAGGTAACTTCGACAGCTCTCTTATTTTTCTTGATCTTAAACAAATTATGATGATATGTGATTTCCCTTTTTAGGAATTTTTTAAAATCCTTGTACATAATTTTAAAGTAATTTTTTATCATGTAGTTTTAATTTACGCAAGGCCCCCTTTGATACCAGCCAATGGCTGATAGGGCTAGCCTGCCTAAATAAAGTTGACTTGACTTGATCATGTTACTTTCTCAAGTACTGCATTTGTAACCTTTTTAAAAATTAGCTTCCGGCTCCAGACCGAATTAATAAAACCGGCAACAGCTGTATCCCACAAAGCAGCACAGAGGAACGTATCTTGCTGTATAATCAGCATGTGATTGTAAAAGATACAATTCGTGCATGTCAGAAAGTGCCAAATGGTTGTGTGCGCCTGCCAAATACAGTCACGTATTATCCGGGAACCAAGTATAGCAAGAGCGTCGATGTCGGCGTTTGTGGGGGAGGCTGTCAAGAGGGCTTCGCTTGCAAATCTGTCATGAATGTCACAGCAGCCATACGCGGTCCAAATGGTGAGTAAATCAAGCATGTACAGTAAAACCTCGAAATAGCAAACACTCCGCTACCCCAGTTATAGTTACATGTATCCCGGGGGGGGGGGGCACTTGGGTATTTTTTGGGTGGGTATCTGCCGCCTGGGACTCCAAATTGGCACCGCGTTCTAAAAAAACTTTCCCCTAAAATTGATACCCCGTTCTACAAATGGGCCAATTTTTTATACCCCGTTCTAGAATTCGCCCTAAAACAGATACCCCGTTCTAGAAATGGGCCAATTTTTTATACTCCGTTCAAGAAAGTTTGTAAATTGAAATAGCCCTGTTTTTTTTAAAAGATATTTCTCTAGTTGTTCGACCTATACATCAAATAAACGCTTCTTCATAATCAGCAAGAATTTTAAGCAGAAGATAAAGCCGTGATCCACAATTTTTTATACCCCGTTCTAGAAAACACCTCTGAAATGGATACCCCGTTGTAAATCAGGAGCTTCAAAATCACGACGCCGTTGGGGGGCACATGCCCCTATAGGTAATGTATGGGGGTCCCCCCCCCCCCCCCGGGCATGTATCCGACGTGATCCGTATCCTAACATAACGCACTTCCGTCCCAGTCCCTCGGTACTTTTTATTGCTGGTTTACAGATGACGTCATGGTGGCCGCCGTCTTGGTTGCCAAAAGTACAACAGCTTTTCACTCCGATGGAAACTCGGACGAACTTATCCTCGTTATAGCTTGAAATTTAAGCCGCCCATTTTACACCCTCTCGTCAAAACTATAACGTTATTTTCTCGATCTTTAACGATGGTAGTTGTTATAATTTGTCTTTCAAAGGTGTACGAAGCATTTCAGTCATAAAGCAGTGCTCATGCGTAAAACCATATTGCTACAGAGCAACACATTTTGAAGCGTTTCTTGAACAATACGCTGATGGTAAAGGAAAGATGGCTACCAGGACTAAGGTATATAAACAGCGTTAATATCAAAGATGCATCGAATAAGAGTATTTAACATATTTTAAATAATCTGAGGTTTTTTTTGTTTTTTTTTTACAAACGGCAACTTGAGAAACACTGGAGGCTTATTATCGTCAGCCGTGAAAAGGCCAATAAATATTGAAACAAATCTGACGACCTCATGTGTTTTACAATGATGGAAATAAAGTGAAACATTTAAAATGATTCAAGATGGATGGAAAAAAATGAAAGATAGTCGTTTAACTGCCAAAATATAAAGTATAGAACAAACGAAAACCAAATTAAGTCACTCCAACCTGTAAGAAGGGCCCTCCTGCAGTGATCACGTCAGAAGAGGAAATTTCACCACTCGTTTGTAAGCATAATTCTTCTTACTTTCACTCTTTGTGCGAGGGTATTCTTTTCAACTCTACTGCCTTGGATCGGGAATTCATTAATGCAAACTGACTTCGCAACTTCAAAATCTCAAACGGTGGTGAAATTTGCTCCTCTGATCATGACGAAAACATGCATAAGAGCTAAGAACATTTCCGAGTTGCCGCAAGTGTCTGTTTCCTTTCATTGGGGTGAAAATGGTTTGTTTATTGTCATGCAAATATAACTCATTTTCACAAGAAAGGTTTTACACTTAGCCTCGTTTTGAAAGTGAGATTTTGTGGAACTCGCAAGTAGCCTATTTATAAAACTATGCAGTGTTTTAATGGCAATCACTTCTTAGCTTTCTCTCTTTTAGTTTAACGTCTAGTATCAATGCCTGACTTAACTTTTAGCAATAGAGTTTTTTCTTTAATATAAAATAAATACACCTCTTTTTCTTTTCAGTTGGTGGACATGGGTAAATGCGTCTACGAAGAATCCTGCCCCTCCTACAAGAATCGTGATGGGTGAGTCAATTGTGACACATGCGGAGGTTCCAAAGCCAAACTCAAGTGAAAATTCTAAATTTACTTTCGCGTCATTTTTTGAATAACGAATAACAAGTATTCATTTGTAAAAAAAACAAAAAAACAAATAAAACCGATTTGCGGCCCTTCTGTCATACCAGTTGAGCACAATTTTAACTAAACCACCTTTATGAAATAATTATTTTAGCTCACTGTGGAACTCATTTCAACCCTGAAGTCCAAATGTAAATAAGCGATAACATTGCGCGGATCATTATACCTTTCTGGGAAACTGCCCACCTACCCCTCCCCTAAGCCAACATTTTGCCCTTAGTGAGAAGGTAGCGTAAAAAAATGGGTTAGGGGAGGGGTAGGTGGGCAGTTTCCCAGAAACGTATAATGAATGCGCTCGGCACCGTCTTGAATATTCACGGTAAATAACTGGGCTCGATCTTGTGACGTCACTGGATGAAAAATACCCGGATTTAGCGTCCACACGATTCCAGATTCATAGTGGATTCAAACATTTCCACATCTGGAGAGCGGATCCAAAAGGTTGCGGATTCGTACGGCGGATACACCGGATACGTGTAGACGGAAGCCGAATTCGCAAAGAAAAACTTGCGGATCCAAAAATATTTGGTTATGTGTGGACAGGGCCTAATTCTTTTTTAAACCTGGATACAGTCCTTTAGAATATAACTCCAGAAAAATTCCCAAACATTGGGAAATTGAGCGACATGGAAAAAGAGCGATGAATACTGAAACAGTGTGGACTCACTTTTTAAGAGACCCAGTCCCACCTTATGTCGAGCTCTGACATGCATAGGATGGCTCAAAATACGTCACTCGACCCAGGCCCAAAATGCCCAGGGCCTAAGATATTAATTATACATATTTAGCAAGCTGTAAAAAATGGAGATTTATCTACAATCGAAAACAATCTGTGGCCTCGTTTATTAAAGGTTTTCTTTTTTTTATTATTCTAGCTTAGTCTGTTATTCAGTTTAACAAATTTGGGGTTATATGCACTTTAAGCTAAATAAGCACTCACAGACACGATCCCAGCCCTTTGAGTAATGTGAATGCCATTTATCCATTTTTATTTCCTACTTTCTGCGTGTTCACTTAATCGTAAAACAAGCATTACATTGCGCAGGCCGTCTTTCCTCATACACTGCTTAACCAAACGAGCTCCAATGACACACTCACAGGCATATCACTTAGGGCATGCCTTTTTCATTCAAGCGAAGCACAGACGCCACAAAATCATTACAAATGCTTAATAAGAGGCTGGCCTTGAAATCTACAGTGACTTCATGTTGGTTTTTTGAAAAACAAAATCGACCGACTTACACATTGACTCTTTATTTTATTTTCAAATAGACCAAGAAGAGATCCAGCCTCATGGCCGCCCAGATTTTGGCCGGACACCTTATGTGAATCGGAGAAAAAAAAGTACCACACATTTATCTCAAGTGGAGGTCGCCACATGAACATCTCTACCATAGAAACGTGCCACTGTGAATCCTAAGCACAACGGATACTCAAGCCATGTGTGTGTTTTTCACCGATTAGGCTAAGCTAAAATCTGTCGTTAAGCTTTCACGTTGCCATTTATTAGGATTTTTTTCATTTGTTTCTACCAGAGCTACCTCTTTCCCTTCGTTTTTGTAGAAATTTTCTAAGAAATTGATCAATTAAGAATTGCGAAGTAACTCAATAAAGCCTGTGTGTGTATGCGTTACACGATCTGTTCTTTTGTTCCGGTATCTTAACTTGTACTTAGCCTGGTTCTCAACAGCATGCAAGTCTAGCATCGCAAATATAAGCGTTAGTCTCCTACTTCCAGCGTAAAAGCGTCCCAGATGTGAGCACCATGGTGAACGTAAGGACAACGATAAAAATGTTCTCTTTTCATTATTGTGCGTTTGCGTGCTAGGAATTCGTTTTTGCTGTACTTGACCCAAGACTCGGTTACTTAAACAAATTCTAACTCAGGCCACGGATTAAGAAATCATTGGACCCAGGATGGCTCATGTTGGAGCTTAAGATCTGTTTAAAGTATATCAGAAACTCATAAGGGGTTGAACAACCTCTTATGAGTTTCTTAGTATATTTTAAGTGGATTTACTTTTAAGAAAATGTTTTTCTAGTCCGCTCTACGCTTAAAGCTTTTCATGTTAGATTTTACCAGGTTATAGCGTTGGGCAAACTGACAATATCTTAGTTTGAACGAAGAACATGG